AAGCCTGCAGACTGTAATACCTGTAAAATGGTCCCTAGTTTGTAATGATGACTTTAAAGTTAGGTGAAGATATAGCCTACAGAAATTGCCTCACTGCGAGGGACATTCTGGCTTCGTTACACTCTATCAGCCAACCGCATTATATGATGAGAGGCAGAAATAAAGCCTGCAGGACTGAAGAGAAGCAGTGAACCACGGGCATAATAATGTTGGATCTTTCCCAGCTGTCAATCACTGACAAGCACTCTCGTATTTTTTTTTTTTTAAAAGAACTTGAGAGAAGGCGACCTGGGTTTTCAACTTCGTGAGGGAGCCAGGGAGAATAATCAGGACATGGCCCAGTGGATCAGGCAACTACAAGGCTTGATGGAAACCTATGGCAGGATTACAAATGGAAAAAAGTAAATTGCTGTCAGTAAAATCACATTTTGTACACTCTGAATTCAACAAAGATTCAGACAAATAGCCTGTGCTTTCCAGAGTGACAGAATACCCCAACAGTTGTACTCAGGGAGCTGCCCCACAGCCAAAAGAAAGCAACTTTAGTAAATACAGAGTAATCTATTAATCAGCCAGAAAGATAAAAGTTTAAAAGAGATATCTGGGCTGCGGGCAATGTGCAAAAATTGGGGCAGTCCTTAAAAAGATGCTTCAGCTATTGTAAAAATTCTAATACTTGGTCTACTTGAACTTTCCTCTTTTTCTATTCTGTCTTTTCTTTCTCATCTTTTTTTCTTTCTTCTTTTTCTGGTTTTGTTTCTGGTTTTGCCAAACTATACCAGGTAACCAACAAGTCCCTTGTCTTTGTAGTGTTGTCGGTGCGCACAGGAAGTAACAAGAGGTTTTGTAAACTCCCAGCCACTATTTTTAAGTAATGGCTTGAAAACGTTTTTATTTATTTAGGGGACATTTGTCTCCAAGTATGAGTATGAATGCTCTGTGAATGTCAGTGAGCGGCAATCTGAAAAGGTGATGCTTATGGATGTCACTGTTAGGTCGCAAGCATTTCATTTTTGCATCTTCAAAGCTTGCTTTATGCCCAAGGAGCCCGAACACTACATGGGAAGAGGGTGGATATTCATTGGATTATTAAAGCATGAAGTGCCCACCACTAAACAGAGGGATAACGGTGCTACTTCAAGTTTACTTGATCCCACTACTTGTAGAGAATCTTCAATTTTGTTTCAATTTTTTTTAAAAGAAAGTCTGGTATTACAAGACAGGGTGAAGCTGAAGAACTCCATAGTTGTTGACATCTGATTCCTCCTCCGAAATCTGAGTTGGTAGGATTTCAGTCGGTTTTCTCCACTGTACCAAGATCTGTACATTTGATTTCACAGATTTTTTTTGCTCCTTGCAAAAACATAAGGGCATTTTTAATTTAATGCTTTCTATGATAAAACAGTGAGTCAAACGCAGGCAAGCAATTGCCAAGCAATATGACTCCCATTTGCTTTATAAATTTGTTTTTGCTTCGTGGATCTCTGTACTCAAATTAGTCCTAAGCCATTTGATGGCTGGAGAGCTTTTAATTAAGGCAAGATTCGGTCCCTACTTCTGAGTAATTTAACCTAAGCGTCCCCTTGAGGGCAATGCTTACTTAAATAAACAAGGCCACTGCGTGAACTCGTGCATCCATTTCCAAATGTTCTGCAACACAGCAGCTCGCAATTAAAAGAATGTCTGATTCCCGTAACCTAAATGTACCTTTGGATTTCCCTGATGGATGCTCGGCAAAAAGCAAGTGGAGCACAAATATCTGAAAGCAGATGATGCTTACGAAACCAGAAGCCATACTCCGACAGGAAAGAAGAGTTTGCCTTAGTGAGAGCACACAGGGCTTGTGTGATGGTTAATGCCCACGGGGAGAGAGAACATAGAAGATTCTGACCTGTTCATTTAGTTCACGGGTTCCGTCTTTTACAGGCACTCAGGCCAGATTTGTGCACTGAAAACAATGCCCTTCTGTAAAAAACAAGTCAAACCCAAGATCTCCCACTTGCTGTTTGTGTGACCTTGTGTGTGCTGCTTCACCTCTGTGCACCGCGGCTTCCCCAATCATTCCGCAGCAGGGCTGATCACCCTCAGAGCACAGGAAGGAGAATGAAATTTGGCAGAGCAACTGACAGCAGTACACATTATTAGGATCTCTTAAAAGATCATTAAAATCAGTGCTTACAATCAGGGGCCAGGGCACCCTGGGAGGCTGGGATGGGCAGGAAGGGCTCTGCATCCAATATTTGCAGACCCAGCATCGAGGGGTGCTTTCGGCCCTGCCCCACAATGGCCCAAGCCTGTGGAGGAAAGCAGTGCTCCCCAGCACTTCTGGGGTTTTGATCTGGGAGGGCTTCCTCCCGTGTGTGGACACCCCCAGGCCTGCAGCACAGGCCCTAAAAATAGATTAACTTTGGGGCTCCTATTTTTAAAAAGCAAGATTATGCATCAATGAAAATCCTTAAGAATTTTGTTTTCATGGTCATATTAGATTTTTAACAAAATTTAGTATAATTGTAGTCTCATAGGATAATGAAGAATAAATCTCCTGGTTTATTCTTCAAAGAATTCCTTTGAAGAGATGCCACTGTGAAGAATCCTATCCACACTGGCATGGAGGTCCTTATCTTACAGAACTGTCTCAGCACTCAGACTCCAGGTAGGTGACATCCCATTTATTCTCTCAGATTCCAGCTGACAGAGTACTTGGCACACTGTGCCAAGATCCATGCATTTAATTTCATTTTTACTGCTTTCTTTTCCTCCGCACAAATAGGTTAAGGTATTTTTAATTCAACACTTACCATGAGATAACAGTGTCTCAAACCGTTTTCAAGGTGTCCCCAAGGCTGCATCAGAGGTCATGAGAAAAGCCAGTGTCACCTTCATATTCCAGTGTGGCCCTGTTGAAATGCTACATAGTGTTAAAGCCCCAGGCCCAACCAGGTACACAGTAATATGCAACCCTGGTACGGCAGCTAGCGACTGGCATCCACCCTCTGAGAAGCTTCTCTGGCTCTCCTGATTACAGCGAGCCCATGCTTTCCTGCAACGCCCTGCACTTTCCCTCAGAGCATTTGCCACCATCTCTGGTGACACACATGTAAGTCTGAGCCCCTCCCCTTATGCTGTACTAGGAGAACAGGTCCTGTTTCTGTCTACCCCAGTCCCATTAGTCCCATGGCCTGATGTTTATCTGCCCACAGTAAGAGCACCATAGCATTTTCAATGCTAATAAATGAGTGAATAGCTTGTGATTATATGTAGATTTGATGGCAAGTGTCTTTAGGAAAGTTCAAATTTTCTAACTCCGAGATATTTCCTTCCTGCTACCATGTTACCTGCTTCCTACAAGCAAATACAAAACCAAATCAAATACAGATGTGGGAGCAGGTCGGGATGCAATCATCCCAGAAACCATGGACATTAACGTTCTTTTAAACTTTTTTATGTCTTCTGTCCCCAAGCATTTCTCTCACATCTTATTCTGTTTAAATAACTTCCAATCAATGGAATTCTACTCCTCTGAACTCTCGTCTCACCTCTGTAGTGGCAAGTCAGAGAAGTGATTGAATTGGTCAGAGTTCTCCAGAGAAACAGAACTAATATATAAAAAAGAATTTATAATATATAAGAAAAAACTTCTCATGGGAATTAGCTAACGAGGATATGGAAGCCAGGATGTCCCCCAGTCTGTGCGCTGGAGGCTCAGGAAGGGAAGTGGGATGAGCTGGTCTCAAGCTGAGGCTGGGAAGCAGGGGGTGCAGGTGGGAGGCTGGGATGGGCTACTGGTAGGAGAGGAGCTCAGGTGTCCCAGGGAAAGGAGACAGACATCCCAGCGCAAGAAGAAAGGCAGTTGTGTCAGTCAGCTATTGTGTTGCTGTAACACAATATCCAGCACCCACAATTTAAGTGAGAAGAAGTGTAATGAGTCTCCTTTGGTTATGGGGGATTCAGTTCACAGTGGGCTTGCTCTAGGGCTGAAACATGATGGTGGGAGGGCCTGGCGGTGGAAAGCTGCTCAGTTCATGGTGAGCAGGAAGCAGAGCAGGAGGAATGCTGGAGAGGAAGGACGAGGGACCAGACATAGGACCCAGTGTCCCACCCCCATGAACCACCCAGACACATCCAGCAGTGAACTCCACAAATCTGCCAGAAGTTTCTTTTTTTTTAAGTTTTATTTTAAAGAGAATAAAACCAAACCAAATAGAATAAAGCCGATCAAAAAAGAATTGAAAGTGATATAAGATTTCAAAACAAGGTAATTTGAAATTCACAATGACTACCATAATGCCTCTTATTTTCAAAATTGTTGTCCATACCATGAGACATAATAAAATCAAACAAAATGGAACAATAAAACCAATCAAAACAGAACACTAAACAAAACAAAAAAGTAAAATGGAGCAAAACAAAACAGTGTAAACAATATTGGATTTCAAAGACAAGATGGAAGGAAATTCTCCATATTTGCTACATTGTATATTGTGTTTAGCATCTCAATAGATGCTCAGATTACTAGCTCTAGACCTGCAAAATCAGTCAAACAATACAAGCATCGGTTTGTTTTTGTACCTCAGTTGCTAACAACTCAGCCTCTGTTCCTCCATATCAGCTGACTGCTTATCTCCCAGCCCACATGCCAGCTGGATCACAAAAAAGAGAAATTAGGTTCTTGTTGCTCCTCCCAGGACCTGAATGGTCTCCATCAGCTCACAGGAAGGGCAAATTGGTTGATTTTTCTTAATTTGATCAAGCTGAGATATCACAGGTGATGGTTACAAGAACATATTTTCCCCTCCTTTAACTTTCTGTTCTATTTGAGCCCTCATTGGTTCAGGGGATGCTGTCTGGCATGGTTGAGAGTAGATCCTCATTGCTCATCTTACAGACTCAAGGGCTGACCTCTTTTAGAAACTAACTCACAGACATGTGAGAAATCATGCCTTCCCAGCTATGTAGGCAACCTTTAGCTCAGGCAAGTCAGCCCATAGTATTTACCATCATAGTAGTGAAACAGGCTTTATTTGATTGCATTAAGGATTTCACATCAACACTGGATCACAGCGTCCACTATTTCTCCCATTGTATCTTCGAGGAAACTACAGTTTAGAGGTAGCATCCAGGCAAAGGAAAATTCATCAGAGAGCTGCTCACTTGGAGCTCGGGTGCAGGGAGATGAGTCCTCCAGCTCCAGCCAAGAGAGGGACTTGTGTGGAAAGGCACCCTGACTGTGGCCTCAGGCCACATGCCCACAGGGCCTGCTGGTTCCCGCTTTGGCTCCTTCCCACATTGTTCACCCCTGGACTGAGAGGACAAGGACTTCCTGGCAGGGTAGGCTTTCCTTGAGCCCCTGTAGTGCACACCCTCAGGAGGAGGGGTGAGCACAGAGCCTAGAGCTGCTTGGCTCTGTTTCTTTCTGGTCCTGTGTAACAGATCTTAGGAGTGACCCTTCTCGGGCATCAGAGGCTCTGAAAATCTCAGCTTTAGATTCAGAATGTCCAATGTATCTCTGTTCTAAGTAAAAGTGATATCATAACAAAAACCAAATCAACTCTGCAAAATGAATTTTGACTTAGGGGCATCATTTATACAACACGATAATGTTAAATGTCAGATTGGCTGGGCAATATCATCCACGGTAGAGGTCGCTGGGAAAGGAGTTCTTAGATAGGATTAACAGTCTAACCAGCAGATGGCTCTGCATACTGTGGCTGCCCTCCACCAGTCAGTTGATGACCTGCAGAACAAAGACAATGATGCTTCATAGCAATGAATGTTCTACCTAAGACTGCAGATACCCTGACTAATTTCTAGCCTGCTGCTTCAAGTTAGGTGAGCACAGATGGCATCAGCACTTAATCAGAGTCCTAGACTGCTGACGTGCCTGTGAATTTAGGGTTAGCCATCCCCCGTCAACATCTGCCAACTCCTTTAAATGTGTGTGAAGGTTATGTGTATCTCTGTCTAGATGTATATGTTTATGTACCTCTAAATATCTATTTATATAGACAGTAAATGAAAAACATTTATAAAAGGAGGCAGAAAAGTTTATATAGGGATACAGAGGCAAAGATAGATCAAAATAGATGATATAGATGAATGGAAGGTGGACAGCAGGTTGATAGATGGATAGAATGGAGAGAGAGAGACAGAGAGAGAGAGAGAGAGAGACTCATCCCCCAATTATCCACTAACATACGCAATCTTTCTACCCTGTCTTAGCCCAACAAACAAATCCACTTCTGGTGGAAATGTCCCCATGTTCCCTGTCCTCAGGTGCTTTATCTCTGATCATGGACTCTTGCACTCCTAAGACTGCCCCAGTTTCCTCAAGGAATAAAGTATAAACCACAGCAACTTTTCTTGAGGGTCAGTGTCAGACAGCAGATCTCAGCTGTTAGAGAATTTTAGAAAGGACGGCCACGTATGTAAGAGGTTTACATTTTTGTGTTCCATGGCCCTCTGATTCCCTTAAGACCTTATATGTGTCAGTATTTTGTTCATTTTCCCTTCTTACCTTGCAGTTCCAAGAAGACAATTTTTAAATTACGCTTTGCCAAGAACACTGACAGACAGAGAATGGAAGCCTCTCACCCAGACTGCACGGTGTGAGGCCCCAGCGCCCCTGGGGTCTTTGCTTACTTAAAGAAGAGCAGAAGGTCTCATCTAAAACCACCTCCCTCCTTTTCTTCAGCCCACAGGAGGGAAAAAACCCTGAAAGTCCAGTTTCAAGATGTCTCCATCTTTCTCTGTTATTCAAAATTCTATCAGAAAGGCAAGTGAATCTTACAAATCTTTGATTTTTTTATAATTAGAACATTTGGTGGTAAAAGAAATACACAGGGGATGTATAAAACTAACCAAGAGGAGATTATCAAGAAATTATTTTCAAAAGCCAGTTTAGCCTAATTAAAAGCCTACAAAGGAATTTATCCCAAACACAAAAACCATGAAGATTTAGAAATGGAATGGGTGAGATATTGCCAGGCATCGTGAAATGTCTGTAGATACGAATGGGCTATGGGATCATAATATTGTTATGTCTTCATCTCCATGACCAACACCAGTTCATCTACTGAACAGATCTTCCTTCTCCTGGAGGCTGGGTGGCTCCTCCTGCATCCTACCCTCCACGGAATGTAAGTTGCGGGTGCTGGCATTGCCTGGCTAGGTCCCCTTTCCTGCCACTGCTCTGTCTCTGATGAAGTGAACCTCATTTGTTTTAAATCAGGCTTTCATTTAAAAATGTTTGGTGCATAGACGCGCACTGTGTTTTCTTCATCCGTGCATGATTCAGTGACTCCCGTGAACAGGAAGGTATCATATACTTGAACAGCATTACGGTCTATGTTAAGTCTTCTCATCACAAAAGTAAGGATGTCAGACACGTGTGCATTAACATCCCACTGTGTACACGGATCTCAACCTTTTAAAAATACTGTATTAGAACGTGTTTGCAGTACATATTGAACCCATTCCTTGAGGGAAACCGGCGCGCATGCACACACCCCACATCTTGACACAGTTTAAAACACTGAGGCCCAGTAAAGTCACCTTTCTAACACCCCTTTTTACAGCCTTGGGGAAGCTTTGCCTCACCACCTGCAGTTCTGGGCCTCCTGCCTGGTACCGCAGGGATTGCTGGACATTGTTCTGGCAACAGCTACAACTTCGTCTTTAGCTGATGAGACTCTGAGGCTAGGATCCTTCCCAGTCAAAGGCCTCTGGGTACTTCAGCCCAATGCCCCCTCAGAATGGTTATTTTTGGGTTTATAAACATGCATGGGTTGAAATCCTCCAAGACAATACAGGCCATGTCCCTCCCTGCTGATGGATGTGATTCTCATTCATCCCGTTCATCGCACCTTATTTCCCACTCCTTGCTGCCCTCCTGACAGTGCAGATTTGAACCTATTTCACTCGGCCTGCAGAGCACCCTTCGAGCTCCCAGGAGAGCTGCTCTGCTCTTTACAAATGCTCCCATTTGTCCTGAAATGCCTTTATCCCCCTCAGATTGCTGTCTCAGCCGGGTTAGAATTCCAGGTTGGCACTTATCTATATTGGTACAATAGAAATAGCCATTGTACACTGGTTTGATATTCTCTATTATCCTTGGGCTTCAGTACAGATGGTATTTCCTTAAAAATAATATTTCACATTTCTCCCTGATTTTAGAACTGTTACCATTGGGCTTTATTGGTTTTACCATTTTATTTTTGGTCTTTTCTCTCAGTCATCTCCCAGGACTCCAGTTTAATATGAGTTCTGATTTATCCTCTGCATTTTTTCCCTTTCTCCTGTGGTTTTAATCCTTTTGCTTGTCAGCATCTAAGTTTTCTCTAGCACACCTCCTTGTCCGTGAACTCTCTTCAGCCGCGGTTAATTTGCTGTTAAATCCATTTATTGAGTACTTAGTTCAGCTAATTACACATGGCCACTCCTGATTCTTCTTTAATTCTCTGTCAAAAGTATAATGTCACTAGCTTATTTCCAGGTACATGCTCAAGATTTTAAATTTTAATCTTCTGATCATAATAAATAATGATATTTTAATGTTGGTACTTAGTGTTTCTAATCCCTAATGGGTTTACATGATTTTTTGGCTTCTGTATATTAACTAATGAAGTTTATTGGTCCATTTTAGATATACACAATGCTCACATTCATCATAGAGACTCTGTGCCGGTACATGATATAGCTTGATTCTTTCCCTGCCCCACTCCTCTCTTCTCTCTTCAACTCCTCTTCCCCTCTCTATTTACAAAAGTTTTTTCATTTATTCCTTCCTTTTCTCGTTTCTTTCTACTCCTATCCTTCCTCTCCCCCTCCCCCTCTCATGTTCCTCTTCTTATTTGAACATTTTTTTTCCTTCTGTGTATTATCTATTTTACATTTTGGTCTTTGTTTACATTCTTGGTTTCTCACAACAAAATAACAAGGTGATATTTGTGCATGTGTGTCCAATTTATTTCATTCAACAGTGTGTTCTCAAGGTTCAACTATTTACCTAGAGATGTCTCAAAATTGTCCATTTTATGCTGAGTAGTGTTGCATTATATAAAAGAACCGCATCTTCTTTATCCATTCATCAACTAATGGATATTCAGGCTGTTTGCGAGATTTAGCTGTTACAAACTGTGCCACTATGAGCATGGGCGTGCACGTATCACTGTGAGATGATCTTTCTAATTCTTTAGAAAGGATACTAGGAATGAGAATAACTGGATCAAATGGGACCTCAACTCCTAGTGTTTTGAGGGGTTCTGATTTTGATTTAGAATGGTTGCACCAGTCTACACTCCTACCAGCAGTACAGAAGGGTTACTTTCCCTCACGGTCCCACCAGCATTTGTTATTGGTTGGTTTGCTGATAATAGCCATTCTTTCTGGAGTGAGATGGAATCTCAGTGTTGTTTTAATTTGCATTTCTTGAACGAACAAGGATGTTGAACAGTTTTTCATATATTTACTTGCTGTTTCTAATTCTTCATCTGAGAAGTGTCTATTTATTTCAGATGCCCATTTTTGGATTGGGTTGTTAAATGTGGGGGTCTGATTTTTTTTGGTTCTTTACATATTCTAGATAGTAGCCCTTTGGCAAAGTTTTTCCCACACTGTAACTTGCCTCCTCACTCTGTTGGCAGTTTCTCCTGCTGTGCAGTTCTTTAATAAGTCAAGATCTCAGTTATTGATTATTTGTGATAGTTCTTGTGCAACTGGGGTTCGCTCATGAAGTCTTTGCCTATACCAGTCTTCAAGACTATTTTAACTTCTAGCAGATTCAGTGTTACTGTTTTAATATTTAGATTTTGAATCTGTTTCAGTTTTATTTTAGTGTACATTGAAAGATGTGGGTCTAGTTTTAATCTTCAGCATATGGAAAGACAAGTTTCCTAACACCTTTTATTAAAGAGGCTATTTTCGTCATGGAAGTACCTTACTTCTCCATCAATTGTGAAAGCTAGTTTTGCAAGGTACATCAATCTTGTTTGTTGTTTTCTTGTTAAGGTTTGCAAAACCTCACTCCAAGTTGCCTTTGACTTGAGGGTTTGTGTTGGGAAATCTGCTGTGATTCTAAAGGGCTTTCCTTGATAGGTGACATTTCTTGTGTTGAATTTCTAGGATAGATTTCAGGGATATATTCCTTTGTACAAATTTTTTTTGGTCACAGTTTACATGCCTCAATTATCTGCACGTCATGTCTTTTTCCCTTCTCAGGATGTTTTCTGCCATGACTTCTGCAAGCAGGTAAATTTTTGTTATTTGTGATATCTCCAGCTTTCTCACTGATTCCTATTGATTTTATGCTATTCTTCTTGCAGCTGGTGGATTGATTTCTCATGGTTCCTTGCTGTTTTTAAGAAATCTTTTTTAATGATCACTAACTGCAGTCTTATGAGAGTCTGTCCTCACCTTGACTTATTCTGCTGTGCATACTTTCAATGGAATTTTTAATTTCATGGATATCTGCTTGAACCTATTTCATTTCTATGTTGGGTGTTTATGGTTTCCGTCATTTTCTATGCTTCTCTGATTTTTTATCTGTATGTGCTCTATAGTCACTAAGTGTGTCTTTCTTTATGGGCTCCACTTGTGCAGCTATTTGAGAAATTATTTCTGATTTGATTTTTTTCCAGTCTCATTCATTTCCTTTGTAATTTCCACTGCTGCCATTCTGAGGTCCAGGTGGCTGGCCTCCAGAGGTGCCACCTCCAGGCTGTGCCACCTCTTTACCTGCTGGGTTTACCTTGGGTAAGCTGAAATTCTGAGGTTCCTTCTTGTTTAAGTGTCTTATTTTCTGGTTTGTTTGCTTGTTTGACTCCTGGCCTGATGCTTATAAAATGTCTACGGTGAGTTGCTTTATTGCTAGTATTTAGAAATGACTACTTAGAGGTATCTTCCAGATGTAGCTGGATTTTGGGTTTTCAGTCTGCTATAAGATCCAACCTGTTTGATTTGATTAAGAATGAGAAGTTGCTGCCTACTTGGCCAGCCCCTTGTTCTTAGGCACTGGCCTACAGTATTTTTAAGATCCTTGAGCAATCTCAGTCTTGCTATACCAGGAAGAACAACCAGTCAGAACTGTGTCACTTTGGCTAAACTGGCACAACCAGCAATTATGATAGCATGAAACACAACCTAGAAAATGGCAAACTGAGAGAACTACTAATTTGCCACATTTTACTTTATGAATTGGATTTTTGGTCACCTAACAAAAATGTAAAATAAACCAGAAATTTGTGTGTGGTAAATAAGCTCTCAAATATAGCGGTTTTACCCTTAAGGAAGAAAATTTAAAAGGAGTTGGAGAAATTGAAGAAGAGAAAGACACAAAAAGCATGGCTGGAGGCCAAAGGGAGATCACACAGACTTCAGGAATACGGAGAAGAAGACATGAGCAAAGCACAGAAAGAATAAGTAACAACAAGAACAGAACAACGACAACCGTGAACCATATTCTCAGTCATATAAAACAATAACAGACAATCAAGAAAAAAATAAACAAGAAAAAAGGAAAGAAAAATAAGAAGAAAAAAAATGTTCACCTCAAGGTGTGTCTCCGCTGCCACTGGTGGACAACTCGGGCAGTCAGAGTGCAGACCCAATTTATTGATTCCATCAGGCCAGCTGCAGCATTGTAGTGGGGTACTGGATAATCTCAGTGAGTCTGAACCTTTAATTCCACTGAAGTTAAAGCTGGTTTCTGGCTGCGAGGCTGGAACCATACCCATTCAGCCAGCAGCAGTCTGTTGCCCACCTCAGGCTTGAACTTAGCTCCCCCAGTTCTTGCCAACTTGAGCTCAGCTCCCTGATCCTGACATTGGAAGCTACTAGATATGAGTTCTGGGCTCAGTCGGTCCCTCTCCAAGATGGCTCCCAGACAACTAGCTTCTCTTGGGATTGTTTAAACCCAAGTACTCCACCAGCCCCTGCAGTCTGCTGCCTCCACGGCTCTGTTCCACTGGTGAATTTCTCCACGGAGGCCTCTGGGATTACCAGTAGTCCCTACGTGTGTACAGGATGGAGCTGCTGTCCTATGCAGTGAGTCTGGCTCAGAGAGGAAGCACTGCCTACCACCTCCTCCTCCTCCACTGAAGCCTCTCCCTTCGCTCTTCCTGTGGGCATCAGTTCTTACTTCAAATCCTTGCTGAGTCCCAGCACCTCCCTCCCTCCCTCCTCCTCCTCCTCCTCCTCACGTTGCTAGATTCCAGTGTCTGGACACCAAATCTCACTGAGGCTCCTTCGCTGCTGCCTTTCGCTCCACCATCTTCCTAGAAGCTCCTCTTTTGGTTTTCTTTGTAGTTTTCCACTTGTGTGCCAGCTTCTCTTTGACGTTTTCACCAAGCATTATATTTAGAAAAAAATCGTAGAAAAATCAAATTCATACCCTTATGCCATTTACTTTAAGGGGAGCTTTTTACTCATTGAAGACTATTAAAATTTCATCCAAATGTGTTCACTATGTTTGAAATCTTTGCTTTACATCCTTGTGACCAAGTGAAAGAAATTCTATTTCTAACTTCAGTTTCTACTGATTTGGGGGTGTCTAGTTGAAATAAGACATCTGATTAAGACAGACGTCACACAATCCTGGACTTCTTAAATTACAGTATGTATTTCTTAATTCCACCAACCAATTACATCAAAGTTTTACTAACATTGGGCTATCAAGTGGAATTACTCAAAGTTGTGAGTTAATTGTTCTTGCAAAGTAATTAGAATGGACAGATTTCCTAATGTTTTTACCAAATAGACTTAAAAGTTGAGGAAGAGTCATCACTTGAAAAATAATTGAACAGGATGAAAAGTTGTTTCTGGTTTTAATGTTTGTGCCCATAAATAGTCACAAAGGTAACAGGTGACCTCAGTCCCCCCACTGCACTCATACCAATTGCCATGATGGGAATATTTCTAAGGGTCTTGCCTAGTTCTTTTGTCATAGGTCACATTTCTCTCAGAATATAATTGCTTTCTCTCATGTCTTACTTACTTTTCTGGCTTCTGAGGAAAAATAACTGGCACCTGAAGTTAAAGGGGGAAAGATTTGCTTAGTTCACAGTTAGCAGAGGTCTCAGTTCATCATCAGCTGACTTCAAGGCAGGGTGGCACACGGCCGAAGGGCAACAATTCATGGTGGCAGAAGACAGCAAAAGCAACAAGAGAGAGCAAGGCAAGCCTTTTTCTGTCGCTTACCTTGTATGCAGTCTAGCAGGATTCAGAGGGTACCAATTCAATCAGTGGACTGATCCAGCAATCACTCACCCTTAATCCTCTTCCTAGTGTCTTTGGTTCTGGCCCTGTGGTGGCTTCAGAGCCAGTGAAGAAGACAGACAGAAGCACTGCAGTGTTGCACAGTGTTGCCCGCCCTTCTGCTGGGTGGTTCTTGGCAGAGTGCTCATTGTCGTGTTTTTTACCAATCTTATAAAGACACTCACAAAAGAAGACTTCCAGAACTGCTTCAGAGAGTGACAAGGACAGTGTGGTGACTGTGCCCAAAGCTTATTCAGTGATTAGGTTCAAGATTGACCTTGTGAGAAAATTTGATTTAGTTCTCACCCGACTCAGTTTGCAACCAGAATCATGGAAAAAATTAAGTTCAGGAACCACAGAACCACATGAACCACATTTTGAGAGTGATTGATGGCAATGTGTCCTTTATTGTAATTTTAAAAGTTTAAACATTCACCATCTATTGCAGTTACCTGGCTTAATCTTGTGGTTTCTCACCCCACCCCATTTCTAGCCTTTTCCCCATAACAGAGGGGGTGGCCGGTGTTGGCACTGCCACCTTTCTCCAGGTGTTTGCAGCTCCTGGAGAGGAGCCCAATAGCACAAAGGACTCCACTGTGCTGCTGGAACTCGGGCTGTGATTGGCAGGGAAATACGCATGCAAACACACAGAAGGAGAGAATGCCGTGTTACACCACAAAGAGATTAACAAGCCCCGGGCAGTATAATATTGAAAGTTTTCATAAAGGATTGTCAGAAACTCTTTTCTCCCCCAGAGATAAGTATCTTTAATATAATAGATATCAGACACTGCAGTCCCTCTAACGATCAGCAGAAACCCAGTCTTTGGGTTGACTGTTGTGTAGAGCTAGCTGGGAGGGAAGAGGAAGGACAGAATTTATCAGAGCAGCCTGCTGACAGTTGAGGACGCACAGCCCCGGGTGAAGTCGGCGTCTTATTCCAATGGTTAACCTCACCCAGCAGGAAGCTCAGAAACGCCACCAGCTTCTGTTCAGCTTCAGTAATAAGACAGCAACACCTACCGAAAATTCAAATTGCTTGCATGTTTAACTGTCTTAGGGCTTCCACGTCGTTCATATTATTTAAAAAGGCTGTAAGTTATCTTTCTCCTGATAGCTTAACCTCCAGTAGGAAAATTTGCAATGTTCGTCTGATTCTGAATATTTCTAATGTGAGGAAGATCAACAAATTCAGTTAACAACCTTAAATACCAATCTCATTACCATTAAAAAATAATGTATATAAGTTAAGTGTAAATGATAGAAGCTGGAAATTCAGTTTTACTACAATTATAGCACGTATAGCTAAGTTCTGTGAATTTGCATGGACAGCTTCATACTTCCAGGCAGAAATGTTCACTTTGTGCTGCACAGGGTGGCAGGCACTAGACAAAAAAATAAAGAAGGAATAACAGCTCACTGCTCTGTTTCAGAAATGCGCCCACTCGTCTTCCTTTTCTCCCGGGAGTGGGTGTGTTCAGGATGGAGGCTGCGGTTGGTGCGGGCACTTCAGGAAACAGTGCCCAACAGAGTCTCAGACATGCTCACTGGATTGACTACGGGATCCACCCAGTTGATTTTCTCTGTTAAGTTCTGAGTCCTGGATTCAAGTCACCTCTGGGGCCTCATTTCTAAATGAAATCGGCAAGTGATTCTTGAGGAAACCACCAGTTTGCTACTTACTCTTAAGCTTAATGAAATGTGACCAGCAACAATGTCTGTCCTCCCCTATTTGCCTTGTGCTGTAGTTTAGGTGGAAAATACCCTCTCCAGTCCCGATGTGGTCAGATGTGGTTCTGGATCAAGAGGTTGACGCGTTCATCAGTGGATTCAGCCATGGATGAGTTCGTGGCTCCCAGTGCTCTAAAGAGGTCGGGTCTGGCTGGAGGTGGGCCCTGGGGTGGGCCTGGGAGGTGGACTCCTTTCCCTCCTTCTCCCTACTCTGTTTGCTTTCTGGTTGCTGCTGTGTGAACAGCTTCCTTCTGCCAGGCCACTTCTGCCTTGGGTTGAATCTTCTGAAAACCATGAGACAAAATAGACCCCACTTCACTGTAAATTGCAGCAATTCTTTTGTCTCAGCAGTGGAGAAGTGTCTATTACACTTCGTAATGTATGCATTTCAAGAGGTCCAGCACTGGCAAAACGGCCAGTACCTGCTTCTTCCACAAGAGGCGACATAGAGTAGGCTGGCCACCACTTAGGACCATGACACTGTTTCAGGCTGTGATACACACTTGAGATAGTGCAATGGGCCTGCTCTAAAGCTCTGTCACTTCATCCCATCTGCCAAGGATTCCACAGGGCTTCAGAGGCAGCTGGACAGAAGCCCCTGGGTAGCTGAGCTCCCAGAGATAAGAAAACTTCTCGGGGACACACAAGAGGGAGCAGTCCTGCCTGTGCTCAGACATCCACTTCGGTACCTTAAAAATACTTCATCCAGGCCCAGACTTTGGAGTCATCCAGGTTTGCATTCTAGTCCCAGCATTGCTGCTCACAGCTGAGTGGTTTTGTCTGCTTCCTCCGCCCTTTGGCAGGTCCTTCCCTCATCTGTCAAGTGGGCAGAAAACTGCCTCCCTGGAGGGTCTTAACAAAAAGGAGATGTATGATGGAGTGACCAGCACACAGCGCTCATCACTGCAGACCACAGAGCCCTGGCCAGCTGGGCTCATAGTGGGGCCAAGACCAGCAAGGCCAGGTCTCCCGAAGGCCTGCCCTCCTCTGTGGGAAGGTGGCACAGGGTTCAAAGGATGAAGAAGACGTTTCTGCACTGCATGAAGAACAGGCTGCAATGAGCAGACAGGCAGGCTGCAGGGAGCTGCGGATGCCCGGCTGATGTGACGGTGACTGTGGGCCATCACCCTCGCGGGGCCATGGGGCACCCGGACAGCTGTTAAAGCACCCTTCTGGGTGATTCTGTGAGGGATTTTCAGAGACTGGCCTTGAGTCAGAGACTTGGTAAGGAACATCTACCTTTAGCCAGTCGGGCAATTGCCTTCCCACTGAATGAAGCCATAGGGGCCAGTCAGAGAAAGGGAAATTTTCTCTCTATGTTGGACTGGGACCCCCTACCTTCCTCTGACACCTTCCCTAGACACCAGAGTTTCAGCTCTTCAGATTTCAGGACTTGCACCAGGACACAACCCCAATTCCTGGGCTTTAGGCCTTTAAGCTTAGACTTAGATGGACACTGTCAGGTCCCTCACACCCAGCTGTCCCCAGCTCACAGGCAGGACCCCTCAGCCCCCGGTAGCTTTTATAGTCCAGTTTCCAAAACAAACCTTCTCTCCTCTCTTCTCCTCTCCTCTCCTCTCCTCTCCTCTCCTCTCCTCTCCTGTCCTCTCCTCTCCTCTCCCGTCCTCTCCCGTCCTCTCCTCTCCTCTCCTCTCCTGTCCTCTCCTCTCCTCTCCTCTCCTCTCCTCTCCTCTCCTCTCCTCTCCTGTCCTCTCCTCTCCTCTCCTCTCCTCTCCTCTCTCTCCTCTCCTGTCCTCTCCTCTCCTCTCCTATCCTGTCCTCTCATCTCCGTCCTCTCCTCTCCTCTCCCGTCCTCTCCCGTCCTCTCCTGTCCTCTCTCGTCCTCTCCTCTCCCTCTCCTCTCCTCTCCTCTCCTCTCCTGTCCTCTCCTCTCCTGTCCTCTCCTCTCCTCTCCTCTCCCGTCCTCTCCCGTCCTCTCCCGTCCTCTCCTCTCCTCTCCTCTCCTCTCCTCTCCCGTCCTCTCCTCTCCCGTCCTCTCCTCTCCTCTCCTCTCCGGTCCTCTCCTCTCCTCTCCTCTCCTCTCCTGTCCTCTCCTCTCCGGTCCTCTCCTCTCCTGTCCTCTCCTCTCCTCTCCCGTCCTCTCCTCTCCTCTCCCGTCCTCTCCCGTCCTCTCATCTCCTCTCCTCTCCTCTCCTCTCCTCTCCTGTCCTGTCCTCTCCTGTCCTCTCCTCTCCTGTCCTCTCCTCTCCTCTCCTCTCCTGTCCTCTCCTCTCCTCTCCTGTCCTCTCCTCTCCTCTCCTCTCCTCTCCTGTCCTCTCCTCTCCTGTCCTCTCCTCTCCTGTCCTCTCCTCTCCTCTCCTGTCCTCTCCTCTCCTCTCCTGTCCTCTCCTCTCCTCTCCTCTCCTCTCCTGTCCTCTCCTCTCCTGTCCTCTCCTCTCCTGTCCTCTCCTCTCCTCTCCAGTCCTCCCCTCTCCTCTCCCTCTCTGTCCTCTCCTCTCCTGTCCTCTCCTCTCCTGTCCTCTCCTCTCCTCTCCTCTCCTCTCCTCTCCTCTCCTCTCCTCTCCTGTCCTCTCCTCTCCTCTCCTATCCTGTCCTCTCATCTCCTGTCCTCTCCT